CCGAGCTACCTCCTTGCCAATTGCCTTTCTCTTCTCCGCGGTGGACCGACGAAGATGCTCCTTAATGGGTTTTTCCTTTGGGTCAACTCGCAAACGGTGCTCAGCCAGTCCCCTGGGTACACCTGGCATGTCAGATGGCTTCCATGCAAAGATGTCCCAGTTCTCACGGAGGAACTGGATGAGCGCTTCTTCCTACTTGCTGTCGAGTGTCATTGAGATATGGGTCGGAGCAGCATTTGGGTCGGTCAGGTGAATGTGGACTGGCTTGGTCTCGCCAGCCGACTGAAATGCGGACTCCAAGGCAGGCCTCTTGGCACGCAGCAAATCACTCGGATCTACAGTCTTCTGGTACTCTTGAAACTCCACTGCCGCCATCTGCTCATCCGCTATCTTCGCACCGTCCCGAAGACAGTCTTCTGCTCTTTGTTGGTTACCAACGACCGTTATCACGCCTTTGGGGCCAGGCATCTTCATCTTGAGGTACACATAGCACGGTCGAGCCATGAATCTAGCATAGGTAGGTCTGCCCAAAATGGCATGGTAGGCATTGTGGAAATCCACAACCTCAAACGTCAACTTTTCCTTGTAGTAATTCTTCTCATCGCCGAAAACCACGTCAAGAGTGATCTGACCGAGTGAGTCAGCTTTCTTTCCTGGGATGACTCCATGGAATCGCATGTTGCTCTCGCTGAGCTTGGACATCGGAATGCCCATTCCTTTGAGGGCCTCAGCGTATAGGATATTCAGACCACTGCCACCATCCATCAAAACCTTGATCAGTCGGTTGCCCCCAACGACTGGGTCGACCACCAGCGCTTGGTGCCCAGGGGTAGCAACGCGTGGCGGGTGGTCGGACTGGTCGAATGTAATAGGGTTTTTTACCACTTCAAATACTTTGGTGTTGCCGGAGCAACCATGTTCACCTCTCTGTTAATGACCTTCAGTGGACTTTTGCTCTCTAGATCAGCAAAAATCACCAAGGTGGCATTGACATTGGGGTAACCACCATCATCGTCTTTGTCTTCCTCCTTATCAGACTCTTTGTCCTTTTCACTGGGTTGGCTTTCTCGGAAGCTCTGGATTAGGAGTCGACATTGCCGAGTCGTATGCTTGGGGAGAATCAGGTTCCCCTCCTCATCCTTCTTGGTGTGAATATGACACGGCAAATCCATCACATCATTTCCTGCTTGGTCCTTCACTTTCTTAGGGATCCAAGGCCCTTTGGGCTTCCCTTTGAACTTTCCTTGATTCAACACTGCTGCCTTGGCAGGGCCTGCTGCCTCAGCCTTTTGCTTCTGCTTCCGACTGGAATTTCCTCCTCGGTGTCCTGGGCGACTAGTCTATTCTTACCACTCCGGAGTCAGTCTTCTTCTTTGCCGTTAGCATACTTGGTGGCAATCTCCATCATCCGAGCCAGAGACATATCTCCGGTCCGACCGAATTTCAGATTGAGCTCTCTGTAGTGAACGCCTTCTTTAAAGGCATAGACTGTTTGGTGATCTGACACATTCTCCACTATGTGGTGCAGAGTGATCCATCTCTGGATATAATGTCTCAAGGTTTCATTCAGTTTCTGCATGCAATGCTGCAATTCTGGCAGACCAGCAGGTCTCTTGCAGGTGCCCTCAAATGTTTTGGTAAACACTTGGGCTAACTCATCTCAACTCAAAATGCTCCCAGGGGCCAGCTGATTCAGCCAAGCCCTGGCAGAAGCTTCAAGCATCAGAGGGAGGTGCTTCATGGCCACCTCATCGCTGCCGCCACCAATGTGCACAGCCACTCGGTAGTCTTCAAGCCAAGTGTCAGGCTTTGATTCTCCTGTGAACTTACTGACGCCAGTCGCCAATCTGAAGTTGTGAGGGATCTCAGCGGCTCTGATGGCTCTTCCGAAACACTCAGGGCCAGAAACCTGGACCCTGCTTCCGCTGGGCCTATCTCTATCCAGCCCCTCTCTGTATGCTCTGTTCCGGTCGACCAAACCCTGAACAAGGACTGACCTTGTGTTGAAGCCAGGCTCTCTTGGGTCGACTGGAACTCTGCGGTCATTTCCATACGGACGCCTGTCATCATACCGCCGAGGCGCGTATGACCCGTCCCTCGGAAGGGGCGAAGGCGATCGACGGTGGTTGTCGCGGGCGTACTCATGATCATACTCTCCATGAGCTCTTCCCAGGTACCGATCTCGGCGGTGATCACGATCTTCACGCCGCAAAGGTGACCCAGGACTGTGTGACGACTGAACGGTGTCTGCCCTTACTGATCTGCTGTGGATTCTGTTCCGCGACTGGGACACGGTGGAGTTCAGGTCTCCCGCTGCTCGGAGCAGCGCCCTGATCTATTCCAAACCTCTTCCAGCCTCTGAACAGGACGGTTGAATGGACTGCGATACGGGCAGCAGCTGCAAGATTCTGGATCGGTGTGCGGAATACCTGACTTTCTGGTGGAAACAACTATCATGGACGTCGACTGGACAAGGGGACCAGTCGACGGGCACGGACGTCGAGAGACTGTTGGAGATTCTCCAAACGAGTGCGCTCAGCCAGCGTGGCCAGGCGCACTGCCTCCAAGGCCCGAGCCTCGGCGACCTCCCCTACGATGGGGGTCTAGAGTGCCTCCACGTTGCGGCAGTGCAGCTCTTCCCTCTGCTGCGAGTTGAGAGGTTGGGTCCGATACTCCTCGTGGCCGTATGACGGGCCATCGCCGCCCCGTTGCCGCCGCTGCGACGGAAACCAGGTGGGCTGCGATGGGAGTCGACCATAAGGACTTTTGCCGCGGGGTCACAGCTCCCGCTCTCGGAAAGTGTGTCTGCTAAGTCAGTCGACAGGTCGACTTGACTGCAGCGAAATACGTCGGGCTCGATTGCCGCGACCTGGGGGTGAGCACCTGACGAGCCACCGCGTGCCTCACCCACCGCTGGAGCCGGATCGACCAGATCGCTTGCGACGGCGTCCAGCGGAGTGAGAAGACGACGCGAGGACCGACTGATACGGGGTCAATGGCTGGCGAAGGAGGACGCCGCAAGCACTCGCGCGGAAGTGCGACGAACCACGGATCGGGAGAGCCTCGACGTCGAGGGGGGCCTCCTGGAGCCAGGCGGAGTCGTCGGCGATGAAAGTGAGCGCGCCGAGTCGGAACTCGCGGCCCATGACCAAACCACCGCTGGAAACCATGTTGATGAAGATCAAAGAAAATGCAACCTCGCCGGAAGTCGCTAAGACGCTTTGCCCCATGGTGGGCGCCAACTGTTGTGGTACTAAGTCTGACAGTAAGAATAGGGGTACGTATGAGGAGGCAAGGCCCTAGCTATGGCGAGGATGTACACGCGAGTTTACGAGTTCAGGCCCCTCTCGGAGGAGGTAAAGCCCTACGTCTCGGTGCCCTGAGGCGGTCGACTGGAATATGGGAGTGTGTGTTACAAGGGGTGCGAACCCTTGTCCCAGTGGAGGGGGGTGGCTTATATAGAGTGCGCCAGGACCCCAGCCCACCTCCATTACAGGGGTTCAATGTACATCAAGACGGGGCGTTACTGGTAACGCCAGCTATAAAGTGTATTTAATGACCTTTAAGACTACGGAGTGAATGCCTGACCGTTGCCATCCTGAGTGACCCCTGGTCTCCTGCAGGTCGAGTGGTTTCCTATATAGTCGAATGACTTGGTCTTGGTCGGGTGAACTTAGGAGTGAGGGGTATCCGAGTGAGATGATTGGTCGAGTGGATTGCACTCGACGACTCCAATTGATACCCTATGTTGTTCTTTGAATGCATTTACTTCTAGGATAGTGACCTTGGGTGGGGTGTATAGGTCAGGCCTATGACCCTACCCTAGGTCTATGGCATCATCAGGCGGCTTAGGGCGGAAGCGATGGAGATTGGTAGAAAACTGATACCATGTAGAAGACTATAGGATGCAACTCAATTGTATTCATCGGAGTGTGTTACAATATATACAGGTGGTGTCTTGCGTAACAACCAACTAACCCTTACAATATCCCTAGGAATCAGCTATACAAGACTAGAGATAATAGGAGAATCAGTCGATAATAAATACAAAGATATCACGTTTCAACAATGAGCACGTACATTTCCTCGATTTCCTAGTATTTCAAAATATTTATGATTTACTTTTAGTTTTTATATTCAAAATACCCCACAAATTTTCACGACTGGATATTTCCAAGTGTTCACACGTTTCTTGCCCTGCTGTGAGATACTCCCTCCGTCCGAAAATACTTATCATCAAAATGGATGAAAAAGGATGTATCTAGAACTAAAATACATCTAAATACATCCTCTTTTATTCTTTTTGATGACAAGTATTTTTTATTCTTTTTAATGACAAGTATTTTCAGACGGAGGGAGTATCAACCAAGCTATGTACCTTGTGTCTTTGTTTATAATACCATATCATTTTAGGTTGTATAACCTTGTTTTAAATGTTTTTCTTTCCGCTAGAAATGTTAACTGCATCTTTTTTACTTGTGAATTGTGGTTATTTGAATATTGCTCATATTTTCCAGTAAACTACAAATGAATTCACGGGAGGGGAAAATATTGTGTTCGGTTAATTACACATCAGGAGTCGAAAGCGGGGAAAGAGCTAATGTGCAACAGGGACGAGATAACTAATATTTACAACTGATTACACAGCCAATGATATCAAAATTGACATTTATCACACTCGAAAGAATATGGAACTGGACTATGGTGGCAGCAGGGGACCTTAGAAGCTACGAGTGCTCGTGCCTCGTAGCCATACATCATATGAACTCAGGGTTGCACCCAATCTTTGCAGGAAATATAGTAGACAGCACTAAGGAAAGAGGTAACGGCGAAGGAGTTCTTCTGGGGCAGTCAAAATGAAAATAGTTTGTATTGCACTTGTACGCTTACCTACAGAAACAGCATAAAATGTGAAATATTAGTGCTGTGGTGCAGAGGATGATTCACAGCAGAATAGCACAGCTGAAGAAGACTAGGTTATTAACTTAGTACCATTATGGTCAGCATGGCTTTCTCCTGTCAACTTTGAAAGGAATGTTTAGCCATCTCTTCCTTGCGGACCGCTCTTTGGTTTTCTTTTCACTCGAGTCATCATCTTCACTTCCGCAGCCCTCCATGTGCTGATCCTTCACTTTCTTTTCTTTCCTCTGGTTTTTTTCTTCATCAAATTTGAAAGAAGGTGAAGATTTAGATTTATTCCTGCTTGAAGTCCGTTTTAGAGGTGGATTGTTGGTATAGGATGCATGGATTACATTCCTTTCATTCAGAAGCTCGTCAATCTACAGAAGACCACGAATACCCAGATCAGACCATCATAAGGAGCAAAATGAGCTAAAGCATCAGAACCAAACATACCGTTTGCATTTCTTGTGTGTATTTGCTAGTCATTTCTGTGAACTTTGCCAAGACCTGCAAATCGTGTTATTTAAGAATGTACCCCTGCCATGCTGATGTGCAAAGAAAGAACCTGATAGAAAATAAATGTAAAGAAAGGTGAGCACATACTTCACGGTACTCTGTCTCGAATTTAGACAGCTCAGCTCTTTTTGTGAGTATCTTTGCCTCGACACTCTGTAGCTTCTCCTTTTCAGTAGGGAAAGATTCAGCGCAGACAATCTCTATAGTATATGTTGCACTTTTGAAGAAATTGTCACCTGAATTAGGAATCTGAGTTTAGGATGTCCCACACTGCCTAAGTTAATTAAAACCACAGCAATCAATAAACGACATTACCATAGACGGCAAAAAAGTGGGTTCCTGGTTTCAGTTCATTAATGTCACATGGTTGGAAACTATCCAACCTTTTAAAGAATGCACTATCAGGATCCTTCGCAGCTGGTGCCTGAAAGTAACCGGAGCTTAGAAAGGCGGAAAATACCATCGAATCACTTGGATAACCCAAAGAGACGAACTTTTGTAAACTCACTGAGTTATTTTGCTCAAAACGATACACAGGGAACCCAAGAAAGTACATTCCTGCAGAAGAAACTTTGCTGGCCTTTACACTATCTTCCTGCAGCAAGCTGCATGTTAGTGAAACACATCACAAATCTAACACAACAGTTGTTCTAGCACATTTGATAAACGGAAACTCATCCAAGCAAATATTTGCTACTTTCATGGCATTGCAGTTTAAGAATAAATCTACGATACAAAAACATACAAATCCTCAAACTTGTTCATGTCAAGTTTAGTACTCCCTCTGTTCAGAAATATAAGATGTTCAACTTTTTTGTGAATCAGATGTATATAGACACGTTTTCAGTGTGTTTGTTCACTCATTTCAGTCCGTATGTAGTCCATATTGAAATATCTAAAACATTTATATTTATGAACGAAAGGAGTAATACTGTAATACCACAGGTGATGTGCTATTTCATATTGTCATACTTTAAATATTAATAATAATATTAATATTAATAAATTCTTAAGACAAATAGTTCACAAATTATATTGCTCGGAGTAGTACATACTCCCTCTGTAAAGAAATATAAGAGCGTTTAGATCACTAAAGTAGTACTCCCTCCGTCCCAAAATAAGTGTCTCAAGCTTAGTACAACTTTGTACTAAGGTTAGTACAAAGTAACTTTGTACTAAGGTTAGTACAAAGTTGAGACACTTATTTTGGGACGGAAGGAGTTATAGTGAGTAATTACAGAGGGAGTAATAGTGATGCACTGATGCTTGACTCCTCCAGCCGATTTAAATTATTTAAGTTATATGAATAAGTATTTCTTTTAGTATCAATTGGAAAAAGGAGAGAAATAAGTTTGGTATATGTACCTGCAGTGCAAGGCTCAACCCACCATTTTCTTCGAGCTCAAAATAAAGCAGCTGCAATTAAAGAAAAAAAAACAGAGTCATGTTCTATAAAGGCCCAAGTAAAGGAAAACATTGTGAAATTTGGAGCGCTTCAAATATCCATCGAATAGAACATGCACTAAATGCTTAAACTATGACAGACATAGCACAATAAAAAAACTCATCTCATAAAAAAATTGTACAGCCTCAGAAAAACAGGTGTATACAAAAAAATAGTTACACCAGGGAGGCAGGGAATAATATTAGGGCTTTGTCAAATATATTCCTAGAACTGTTTCCTTCACTGGCTACTTTGTACTCCCTCTGTAAAGAAATATATCACAGTTCTGACCACTTTGGGTCCATAGTACAGAGGAAGTATTTTACAGAGGAAGTAGATGTACATCACAAAAAGGGCAGCCCAGTGGACGTCCCGCTTGCGCAGGGTCCGGGGAAGGGTCTGACCACTTTAGGTCTATAGTACGAAGCCATTTCAAACATTTCTGCAAGAGGCTGTTTCCAGGACTCGAACCCGTGACCTCGTGTACATCACAGTTCCAATAAAATTATGGCTTTGGCAGAAAAGGGCTACCATATAGTGACAAGTTTATGGGTTAAACATTGCCCCAATATAACTCGTATCACAGCATACAAAATAATTGTCACTATCACATCATGGTTGGTTAATGCTAGATACCATCAGAATGGGGATCTCCCCATCAATCTTTAAACACTGGTCGGCATACTCCATACTCTTGGATGTGAGATGTGTTGGGCCCTCCCTCCCTCTTGAGAGTCACAGCACATGTGCCAATGCATGTTAGTTATAACCTGGTAGGGCAAAACTATTTTTTATCACCTAATAATATGTTAAACAATTCTGACTTTCGGCATGAAAATAGTGTGATGTGGGTTGTCTATTAGCTTTGCCATGTTGGATTTTGGGTGATCTGGAAGAAAGAGAACTTCAAAGACAAGTAGACAACCCAAGCCATCTCTTACGTCTATCGGCACAGAGCATGTGGGCCAATTTTCAGTGTTCAATAGAGTAAACCATTGTCTCTAGCACTTTAGTGGGCTCGTGGCTGTCTAAAATATTGATACAAGATAATGTGGAGCCATGGGAAACACACTTATCTCTGCTATGAGAGATGGCCTTATATGACTCATTTCTGCCAAGATTTGTTGAATAGTAACCTTCCAATTGAACCTAGAGCCGTGAACAAACTATTACCCCTACCTACATAGTAGGACCACCCACACTGCATTCTACACGCTCAATCTACCCACTGGACGACTTCAAGCAAAAGGTCAGTTTGTCTTTTTCTTTCATTTGTGGCAACCAAAAGCAATCTAGTATGAATAAAGGGCCTGTTTGGTTGAAACCTAAGAGTACCTAAGCATGCCAAACATTTTTGGCCTAACATGGCTAATTGTGGCTAAGAATGATGAAGCTACAACTTAGCTTGGTCAAGTCAAGTGATCTTGTGAAACCTTCATAGGTCTATGATTCATGAGACCTAACTACAACAAAAGGTTCGGCACGCCACACACCTAAGTCATGGCTACAAACCAAAAACTTGGCTAAGGAGAGTGGCAAAATTTGGCTTCCAGCCAAACAGGGTCCTTTAGTCAGTCACACAGTGCACTTAAGAAAGTGAAAACAGGAGCGCAAACTGAAAGAAAAGGAAGAATTGGCAGTACTAATATGGTTGTAGTTCAATCATTGTAAAAAAGGAGAGCCAAATGTTTACTTCATGGAATCTTACAAGGAATCATACATTCTCCACGACACAAATAAAAAGTTTGAACAATACTCTCACATATCACAGAATTACACATCCATTGAGTGAACTTAAACAGAGGAAATAATAGGAAAGGTATTTTGCTTCTGAAAACCGACCTTAAATTTGCTTTTTTCAGTTGAATGCACACGGCAAACTAGCCCCTTCTTAGCTTCCTGTTCTGTGATGTCTACAGAATAAAAATGAGCTGTTTGCTTTTCCACCTGGACACATGCAACAACTTAAGTCTTACTAACACGGAAAAGAAACATCACATAATGGACAGCTAGTTGCCAACCTTCTTGCGCACAGGGTTTCCTAGCTGAAGCTGTGAAACCACAATAGACCCATTTAATGCTTCCTCCAAAACGGTTGCTGAAACAGTTGTCTTAATTGGTACACCAAGCTTGCTGCATATATGTGCCTAAAATCAAAACAACAGCAAGGCACAGGCTAGCAAATTACTGGAGGAAAAATGTACCATTTAGAAAGTGTACCTGAAAATAGCTGCAAACATGGTGTTTACGGTATTGAGACTGGATAGGTCAAGCTCCAATTCCTGGCTATCAGTTTCGATGGCCTGAAACATCGTGCAACAGTTACCATACCATGTTCAGATAAAATGGTTAACACACACCGATTCATCAGTTGATTACCTCGAATCCTGACGTGTCGTACTGCCGCCTCTTATGGGGATCCGACAGAATGCTGTAAGAAAAGGTGACTTCCTGGAACTTGTCTGATGCGACAGGGTCATCAGCATTCTTATCCGGATGGTACCTGCCGAAATTTAGAAGTAACAACAACACTGAGATCAGTATGTACTTGAATTCTACATCAAGCTACCACTACATGCACCAACAAACGTTTAGAAAAGAAAAAAGTGGCCCCCAACCGAGGCTGGAAAGAAAAGCCTAAACACGCAATTGGTGACAGACGTAGCTGAAAACTTCACTAAACAAGCACACGCAAAGGTGCCTGAATGATGTCCAAAATGCGCACTGTTCCGCGCACATACGAACGAAACCTCCCACCTAAACACGGACACGCCACACCAGTGTGGTGAGGGAAAAAAACAACCAACACCAGCAGCAGCACGACGATAGCACGAATCTGAGACAGAGCCGGCGAGCAGCCTTACTTGAGCGCCATGCGACGGAAGGCGCTCTTGATCTCCTGGTCGGTGGCGGTGCGGGCCACCCCGAGCACCTCGTACGGGTCCTTCCTCTGCGGCGGCGCCGCCGCCGCCGCTGCCGAGTCCCCCTTGTCCGACTTGAACGACCCGAACCTCGACCCCGCCATGGCCGCGGCCCTCCTCCTCCTCCTCCTCCGCTGCAGCACGCACCGGCCGCTTCCAAACCTCCACAAGCCCAGCCGCAGCAGGCGCGGGCGGCGAGATCTCGCCCCTGCAGAACGTCTCGGTCACGCCCCGCCCGACGCGCGCGCCGCGAGCGGCCGGCCGGAAGGGGGGCGGCGCGGCGGGATAGGGTCACAGCCCCGTCCCCGTCGCTGCGGCGGCGCGCCCCGCTAGACGTCGGCTGTGCGGGATTCGAAATGGAGGGCGAGGCGAGGCGAGGTGGCGAGGGAGGCCGGCAAAACGAGGAGGGAGGGCCGGAGAGAGAGTGAGGTGGGTGGGGGAGGTGGCGTCATATTAGGTGTGCCTCGCGGTGGGGCCCGGCGCTCAGTGGGGTTGGTGCATCCACTGTGGGGCCGGGGTGGCGGTGGAGGGGGGCGCAGGCTGGACTGACTGAGCCGAGCGTTGGCTCTGGCTGGCGGTTAACCGGTAGTGGTAGGCCTCGTGCGGCCGTCGGCTGCTCCTGCACGTGAAGGGCAGTTGGATCAGGGTACCCGGGATAGCGGCTAGTTAAGGCGGGCGCCGGCCGGCCGGCCGACGTTTTCTGCCCGCCGGCAAGATCTTCAGCTTTGAGTTTTTCCTCTGTTTTCTCATAGCATCTCCACTCGTTTGGCCCTCCAGCGCATAGGCGGGCGTCCACCCGACAATTTTTAGTCCCCGGGGGCGACCAAGGCCCTAGCCCCCAGGTACCGCCCCCAAGGCCCCAACCACGCATCTCATATTCAAACTTGATCGTTCCCGTTTCAAAAAGAACGCCATAATCCGGCGATCATCGCAATAGTTCGGCGATCAGTGCCACAGTTCGGCGATCAAATGAAAGGACAAGCAAATAGTTCGGCGCACAAAAAAGAAAGGACGCGCAAGGAATGCATCAAACGTCGAGGTCGCCCTCCGGCGTCGTCGCCGGCGTGCGCGGGCTAGGAGGAGTCGGCGCGGCTTCTGGACTGGTCGGCGGCTTCTGTGCTGCTGGACGTCGCGGAGGCATCATCACTCGGGCTGGGTTGTGGCGTTGGCGTCGGAGGCTCCGATATCTGGTTCAGGATAAGGCCGCACTCTGCCAGGAACCACGCCTTGAGCTTCTCGTCGCTGCTCTGGAGCATGTCAGCACCGCCCATCAAGAAAGCCAGGTCATTGTTCCTCTTCTTGGCGTCTTGAGCTTTGAGCTTCGCGGCGACGTTGCTCCGGAGCAAGTCGAGTTTGACGACGTTGTTCATCATCAAAGCAGCCCACCGCGCCTCAGTTTTCTCTTCTGGCCCTGGTCTTGGCGTCGGCGAGTCAATGCTCGATGGACTCTTGCACGCGTGCGGCAGCCGACTCGGCGTGTTTCTCCTTCTTGGCCCCTTTGTTGCCGTCCAGGCGCCCGTCGGCCGCGCCCGGGGTCGGCGCGTCCGGCTTGTACGTCTCCTTGGCCTTGGCGAGGGTGCGCCGGACATCCTCCCACTTCTCGCACTTGTCGATCCGCTTGAAGACGTGGAGGTACTTGAACTCTTGGTCGCTATTGTCATCGCGGAACATGGCGAACATGCGCAGCAGCTGCGCCGAGGAACGAACATCAGTCGGCGCGGGCGCGCCCGTGGGCGCACACACGGCGAAAGCAACAGGGTGAGGACGGCGTGCTATACATGATCCTCGACGCTGGCGCCGCTCTCCGGGCGAGCCTCGACCTCCTCGACGATCCCATGCCATTTGTTGCACGCCGTTTGGATGAGCCCCCAATGGTTCGCCATCGCCTTCGACCCATGCTGCATGTGAACGCCTTTGAAGTAGGGGTCAACGAGCTTGCGCTCGTCGAACTCGGCCTTGATGCGGTACATGTCGATGTTCTGTTTCGTGCCGGTGATCGGGTCGAGGCAGACGACTTTCCACGCTTTGGCGAGGCACTCATCTTCCTTTGACGCCCACTTTATGCGCGGCTCGCCGGTCTTGGCCGCCCCTTTCTTCTTCTTTTTCTTGCCTTTCCTTGTCCGTGCCGGCTCCTCCTCCTCCTCCTCCGGTTCTTCCTTGCCGTAGTCGAGCTCGCCGTCCATGTCGCCGAGATCAATCGAGTCGTCTTGGATAGTGAACCCGGGGGAAGCGACGGCGGCAGCCGAGCCAGCTGCGATGATGTCTTCCATGTTGGCCTCCGTCGCGTCGGCATCGCCAATATGTGACGAGGAGGCTTGTGAGTAGAGCAGGTGGACGCGGCGGAGAGGTGGTGTCAGGGAGGCTGCGTAGTCCGGCGGCGAGTACGTATATGGAGGGTACTGCATGCCAGCGAACGCGGGCGAGGGCGTGCGCTGGACTGGGCGCCCATGGGGAAAGGTGACGTTGGGGTTGAACCCGCCGTGTACGTCGCCGTCGGCATAGCCCGGCGATGACGAGCTCCATGGTTGTGGCGATGATGAGAAGCCGGCCGGAGATCCGACGCTTTGCTGGCTCCAGGCCGCGTGCGGGTCATGGCCGCCGGGTGAATTCATCATCCCCGTGCGAGCAGCCTTGGCTTGTTCGGCCGAGCATTCCGCCTACTCCGCCGTCGCCGCGGTCGCGAGCGTCGCCCTCTCCCGGGCCTTCTTGGCCCTGTTGCACCTATCGGCGGTGACGGCCTCCTGGCGCTGCACTTCCGCCTTCTAGTCGGCGTTGGTCATGCCCAGGGGCTTGGACGGTGGCGCCCTCTGCTTCCTCTGCTTCGGCTGGGCGGCGACGGCGGATGTGGTATCCATCGCGGCGCGGGGGTGATACGTCTCCAACGTATCTACTTTTCCAAACACTTTTGCCCTTGTTTTGGACTCTAACTTGCATGATTTGAATGAAACTAACCCAGACTGACGCTGTTTTCAGCAGAACTGCCATGATGTTGTTTTATGTGTAGAAAAGGAAAGTTCTCGGAATGTCCTGAAAATCCACGGAGGCACCTTTTGGAATTAATAAGAATTTTTGGCGAAAGAATCAAGACCAGGGGGCCCATAGGCTGTCCACGAGACAGGGGCGCCCCCCCTAGGGCGCGGCCTCCTATCTCGTGGGCCCCCTGGACCTCCACCGACCTCAACTCCAACTCCATATATTCACGTTCGGAGAGAAAAAAATCAGAGAGAAAGTTTCATCGTGTTTTACGACACGGAGCCACCACCAAGCCCTAATCTCTCTCGGGAGGGCTGATCTGGAGTCCATTTGGGGCTCCGGGGAGGGTGATTCATCGCCGTCGTCATCATCAACCATCCTCCATCACCAATTTCATGACGCTCACCGCCGTGCGTGAGTAATTCCATCGTAGGCTTGCTGGACGGTGATGGGTTGGATGAGATTTACCATGTAATCAAGTTAGTTTTGTTAGGGTTTGATCCCTAGTATCCACTATGTTCTGAGATTGATGTTTCTATGACTTTGCTATGCTTAATGCTTGTCACTAGGGCCCGAGTGCCATGATTTCAGATCTGAACCTATTATGTTTTCATGAATATATGTGTGTTCTTGATCCTATCTTGCAAGTTTATAGTCACCTATTACGTGTTATGATCCGACAACCCCGAAGTGACAATAATCGAGATACTTCTCGGTGATGATCATAGTTTGAGGAGTTCATGTATTACTATGTGCTAATGCTTTCTTCCGGTTCTCTATTAAAAGGAGGCCTTAATATCCCTTAGTTTTCGCTAGGACCCCGCTTCCACGAGAGGGTAGGACAAAAGATGTCATGCAAGTTCTTTTCCATAAGCACGTATGACTATTCACGGAATACATGCCTACATTACATTGATGAATTGGAGCTTGTTCTGTGTCACCCTATGTTATAGCTATTACATGAGGAATCGCATCCGGCATAATTATCCATCACTGATCCATTGCCTATGAGCTTTTCATATATTGTTCTTTGCTTATTTACTTTTCTGTTGCTACTGTTACAGCTACTACAAAAACCCAAAAACATTTATCTTTACTTTTGCTACCATTACCTTTACTCTCATACCACTTTTGCTACTAAACACTTTGCTGCAGATACTAAGTTATCTAGGTGTGTTGAATTGACAACTCAACTGCTAATACTCAAGAATATTCTTTGGCTCCCCTTGTGTCGAATCAATAAATTTGGGTTGAATACTTTACCCTCAAAAGTTGTTGCGATCCCCTACACTTGTGGGTTATCAAGACTAATTTCTGGCGCCGTTGCCGAGGAGCATAGCTCTATTCTCTGAGTCACTTGGGATTTATATCTGTTGATCACTATGAAGAACTTGAAAGACGTTGAAACCAAGATTTTGCCCTCAACTACGAGGGGAGGTAAGGAACTGCCATCTAGCTCTGCACTAGATTCTCCTTCCGTTATTAGTAGGCTAGCGACACCTAAACCTGCTACTGCTATGAATTCTGATATGTCGCATGTTATTGATGATGCCACTTTTGCTATGCATGATGAAACTACTTCTGTGCGTGATACTACTTTGCCATTAGGTGAATTTCTTGATGAACAACTTGCTAGAGTTAGGGGGGATGAAATTACTGAAGATCCTATTACTGATGATAGTGATAATGAAGGTTCTCCCAATGATTATGTATTAGCTGTTGTTCCTAAGGGGTATGTTATGAATGAAGAAGCTGCTAGGGAAATCTTTGCTTGCAATGATAGATATGATCTTAAGAAATTATTAGCTAAATGGAAGCAGCAGTCTCTTAATGCTAGAATGAAACCTGACCCTGCTTTTGCTACTTCACCTATCTGTATTACTGATAAGGATTATGAATTCTCTGTTGATCCTGAAATTATTACTTTAGTTGAATCTGATCCTTTTTATGGCCTTGAATCTGAAACTGTTGTGGCACATCTTACCAAGTTGAATGACGTAGCCACCCTGTTCACTAATGATGAGAAGCCTCGCTATTATTATATCCTTAAGATATTTCCGTTCTCATTAAAAGGTGACGCTAAGACTTGGTATAATTCTCTTGCTCCTGGTTGTGTGCGTAGTCCCCAGGA